GACATATTTCAGTAATCCAACACAGAACACGTTGGGGGCAGGGTGTGAGTTTTGATTGCATGAATAAGTGAGAGAGAAAAGCTGTTGGGGTGTTTTTTCATGGTTGGTTTTTTGGTTTGTTTCTTCTTTTTTTTAAATTGGAACTGTGAATATGTATAAATGCAGGAATAGTACTGACATTTAAATTATCTGAATGCCCTAAGCATCTAATGCAGTCTTATAGCCATAATAGTGTCAAAATCTGGACAAGGCAGGAGTTGTAGTTTTAAAGTTAAGCATTTCTATTTGTCTGGATGGAAAGGTCTTAGACACATCATCTCTCTGCTGGCAAAACACAAAGTGCAAACTTCAGGTGATGTAGACATGTAAAATAATGGGTTGTATATAACTTGTTATATCAACAGGTGAGATGGGGGCAAAGGGCAGAAAAGGATGATTGTTGCCATTATGGGTTAGGAAGGGATATTAACAAAAAGAGAATAAGGTCATTGTCCTTGAGAAGATTGAGGGGTAAAGAAAAGATGAAAATATCTGACTGTGGAGGTCCTAGGAAAAGATAGTATATATGAAAAATCTTGAGGTGTCATTATACAAAAGATCCTTCTGAGTTTTCAGATGTGATAAGAGTTATGAGTTTTGTATGTGAGGTTGCTCCCTTGAAGACAGAAGGAGGATTAGGTTTGACAGGTAAAGTCATCACTTTGCAAAAAATGCTTTGCATTGACCCTGTAGCTTGTGTGAGTTGCTTCAGTTGTTCACTGTTGGGTTGGGTCATGGTACAGAAGGGTTTTGTGCTACTGTTTGCTAAGGTACATTGGTTTGGGATAAAGTGAACTGCCTTTGAGGGCTTCCAGTTGCACATAGCATTTTCCAGAGGAAAGCCATGGAGGCACAGGTGTTTCCTGTATCCATGAGGCTGAGCACTGGGTGTACTTGGGCCTGTAGGAAATGACCTCTGATAGCAGCAGTTTGTTCATTCAGTCCTGTCACAGAACACTTCAGTATATATGTTTCCAAGTGTCAGTCTTTGATGGCTGAGCTGCAACTTGTGAAGAAAAAGATTATAAACATGAATTGCATCTTACAACAGAGTCTGTCAGTTGTGGCCTGTAATTGTATATGTTTTAATCTATCACACAGGAGGGAAGTTTTGGCACTTCTAAAATAATTTTCAATCTCTTGAGACAGTACCTCCTCAGTAACTTCAGTAAAATGAAGAATCTGTACAATTCCTCTGAATTATAATAGAGGAAAACCACTTGAAGCTGTGTTATGTAAGCTATTATAGAATGTTAAATAACTTAGTTGTTTTCTGTGACATATGTCACTGTAAATGTCTTCAAATAATGTTCTCATTGTAAATTGATGTTAAAGACCAGTATGCTATAAAAAGAGCAAAACTCCAAGCACTACTGGATATTGCAGTATGAGCTTACAAGTGGTATATCTAGTGCAAAGAGGATGGAATAGTTTCATTATATTCAGGAATGATGCTGGTTGTGCTGAATTTTATAGTACTTGGCAGTCTACTCCATGTACTCATGACTGAGGGCTGGAAATACAGTTGCTTGTTTCTATCCTTAGTTTGCTATTTATAAACCTTGAGTTTAGTCTTCAGAAATATCCATATATGTCTGTGAACCTCTTGGTATATTGAACTTCCAGAAAACAGGGGCTTCAAATCCATTCATCAGTAGTAACAATGAAGTGGCCCAATCCCCTCTGTGGCATTGCTCTCTGTGGCATGTGAACAGTGCTTACTTGGAAGGGAATTACATGTGAAATTCTACCATTAGTGAAACCAATGCCGCTTGTGTTTGTTCACTCATGTGATGTCAAAAATGTCACTTTGTGGATGGGGAAAAGGATATTTAAAACATCTATATCCATAACAAAATCTTGAACTCTTGACAGCTGTACATGTGTTGGTTTTTTTCATGCTCCTCCTCAACTTTATGATAAATTTACTTAAATTTATCAAAAGAGATTATTTTGAAATATTTTTAGGTATATGACCATTTTTAAACTAGGAAGAGGATTATTTTTATGTCATGCTATTCTTGGTGGTTCATATTTGATGCATCTATATGCAATTTCTGTAGCATTCTTAACTTTTTTTGACAGAATTTTGGCATCTTGTAGGCTTTAGTACTGCTGACTTCGTGCAAATGGGAAGACGCATTTAGGTCAACTACAAATAGTTCCTATTTCTCAAGTGTATTCAATGAAATTGTTGCTGTTTTGTAGCCTTTGGATAACAAGTTTAATGCTAAAATACTGTTTAAATTTTGACAACTTTCCAGTTGTTCAAAAGCTTTTTGTGCTATGTGGAAAATACTGAATGTAAAGGTGCTCCATAGAGTAAATTGAGTTTTCTAAGCCTATTTACAGGTGAGCATTATTATGAGTACTGTCAGTAGGCTTTGTTGTGTGTAGCATGTCCTCTGTATGCAGGAGTTTTGGACCATTTTTTCTGGGAATGTTTCATCTTGGAAGATACTAACTGTTCCTTGTGCATGCAAAAAAGAATACAGCCTTCAAGTCACTGATTTTCGAAGTACCAGGCACTTGAAAATAGCACTCTTTGAAAAATGGTATCTTTAATATGGTCTGCATTGGAGCTGTTTACTTGGAAAGTTATTTGTAATGTATGTAGCATATTATCATTATATATGATGCATATTACAGGTAAATATATGTAGATATTATTTTGTAGATGTATATAACTATTTTGTGTATAAAACATACATACTATATGTAAGGTATCCTTTTGATTCACCATTCATTTTTTAGCATTTTTCTCACTGCACTCACTCAAAAGTTCATATTCCCTGACTTTTAGCCTGTCTCCATTAGTTTCATTTCTTAAAAAACGTTTCCTTTCAGGAATGGTCCCTAAAGGTAAGAGGTTACTTCTGGTCTTAAGTGTTGTCACTTAAATTCTGGTCTTAATTAGTTGTCACTAATTAAATTACATTTAATTAGTCTCCAAATCTGTTGAAATGTTCCTTAGCCTTCCAGAAAGAACTTTGCAGTTTCATTTACAGAAAGATGTTATCGAACATTCTATGAATAATGGTAAAGGTGGAAATGAAAGGTGGCTGTTTACTACTGTGTTTTTGATAAATTTAGAATCATTCCGTAGAATTACAGGCCAGTGAAGCTGCAGATCAGTAACTGAAAGTTTACCACATTTGAACAGAAATGTTTGTTTTGTCATAGATACTAGGGGAACCAAAAATCCTAGATGGGAATTACCAGGAAGATGAGTAAAAGTCAACTGAAGCAAAGATTTTCTTTTTTTGTTTTTCCTTCTTTCTAGTCAGGTAATATGGAAATTCCCAGTATGTTGGAAGATCTGTACAGCAGAGGAGAGGAGAGAGTGCTGCATTATCATTTCTGAACTTAGAATTTTTGTGGGATTTAGTGGCTCTCAAGGCCTTGTAGTACCCTGAAATTGCCAGCTGTGCACCTATAATTAAAACAAAAATAAAAGGGGGGGAGAACCTCCTTTAGCAACAGCAAAAAGAAAAATAACTTCCATGAGGGAATGTATCCTAGAGTTTTACATGCCCCAGTAACCTCGAGTCTCTGACTACAGGTCTGCCCACAGTTGGCTTCCATGTTAAATACTGCCAGTTTAATTTTGTTTTACTTCCTGTGACCATCCAGTTGCATCAGACCTAGTGGAGCAGTATGGCAAACTGGGAAATACTTTCATTTGCTTTATCTTTTAATGAAGATAGAGATGTTTTTCTAAGTAGCTGTATTTAGTCCTGAGACTTGGAGCACTTTTTGGTTCCAGGTTTTGTGCTGAGTTACTGATGTGCACAGAGGTTAATATTAAAGCTGTGGCAGCAAGTACAATGGAAGGCAGGGTGTGGTGTGAAGACACAGTGACCTAGAAGAAGAGACCTAAATTTTGTTGTCAAACAGTGGATGCTAGAAAATACCATTTGCATCAACACTCCTAGCCACAATTTAGACATGAAAATCTCTTACACAGCTTTTATTTGGAAAAAAAAACTTATTTGGCCCAAGGGCATTAAATTTTGTATACTAAAAATGCACTGCCTTTAGGAAGAAAGAGTATGCATTTTTTGGGTTTTTTTTCAAATACCATTATCTGACTGTAGTGTTTGGGTGTCTCAGAGTAAAATGGAAGCACTTGAACTGTATTACTAACATTCTTGCCAGAACAAACTGTAACTAGAAAATGTTTCCTTTTAAGACAGAGGTGAACCTATTCTGGTGTGCAGTGCAGTTTCCACACTCATGATGACAGTGAGATTAGGTTAAGACTGGGGAAGAGAACAATTTACTAGTGAAGAAATAAAGTCTGAAGCCAAACTGGTTGTAGAAGTAAAGAAGAATGCCTCAAGCCCAGTCTTGCGAGGAGTTGGGAGTGTTAGCTTCTGATTCATCAAAATGCTTGTCACCAATTTGTGAATAGTTCTGTTGAAATTGGTGTTGTTATTCACCCTGTAGTGGAGTGAAGCACACCCATCCTCAGTGAAACATAGGTATTGGAATATGAATCCCAATATAACCAGTTAGATGGTGCCTGGGCCAGTTCTGACCCTCGCTGCTGGGCCAAAGGCAGCACTGTGGTGTTTTACCCCAGTGATACCTTGGCTGGCGGCAGAGTGCAGCGGGGCACAAGACGCAAGTCCAGGCTTGTCAGGACTCCGTTTACCTCAGGAGAGAGCTTCTGGCGATGGTGAAGAGAAGGAAGGAGTGGATTCTGCTGGAAGGTTATATCCAGATGTTTATTCCATGGGTGCAGAGGTCTACACCGGGACAATTCTTCCAACAGAATAGAGGCCGCATGGTCTCATTTACATTTTAAGCTCAGGGCAGGGGAAGGGGAGGGGACAGGTGAGCCACCAACCAGGTGAAGGGGCAGGGTCTCAAGGGACTAGGGACACCTATCACACGACGCCTTGCTGGTATGTTAGCCTGATTGACAGGGCACACTCAGCGCGAGGGGCGAGGGGGAAGGGAGAAGGTAAAACAGGACATTGCAACACACTGCAACACATAGGGCTCCGTGTTTTCATGGATTTGGGCTGATGGGTGTTGGATATGGTCAGTTTGAGCTCTTGAAAGTACAGGGTTTCCCTGTGATTCTTTCCCAGAGGAATCCCCATGCACTTGACTGTTACTGTTCTAGCATCTAACAGCATGAAATCAGGGGGGTAAAATTCAGCTGAATTTTAGGTGGTTAATAAATACCTTGTAAAATTGTGTGTTTGCTTAAAATATATTTTGCCTATCATGAATGTTTTACCTTAGGAGTTAAACCCTTAACGGTTCTACAAATGCGCAGTAAGAAATTAATCTTTTACCACAGGAGTTTGCAAACTTTGGGCAAACAAAACCAGATTGCAAGGTGGGAAGAAATGGTACCCAGTAACTAGAAACATGCTGAGTTCTTACTGTAAGAGCAGTAATTTTCTTCTAGTAATTGTTGTAGAGCTGTTATCCATCAGAGCAGTTAATGTCACTCTAAATTGCTGCATTTGTATGTTAGTCTTTTGAAACTGCCATTGTTTTGAGAAGGTGAAAAAGAGCTCATAAAACATCTAGTAGACTAATTTTGGGACCATGTTGAGACTTCCGAATAACTGCTGAGTATCCGGTTCTGAAAATGGAAGGCTGGTGTCTAAATCAGAAGCATCACTAATCTGGATATTAAAAAAATATTTTTGTTCTCTGAATTGTGATCTTTTTTTCTTTGGCTGATTTGGTTTTTGCTATAAGACTGTAAACACTTAAAATTCAGCCATACCCTAATGATATTTTTATTAATGTGTCCTTAGAGATTAAAGTAGCTTTTTTCATATGATTTTTTGTTAGAGAAACTAAAGAGAGAGAGACTAATACTTAAGCTGTGTTTTGTGTGGTTGCAAAATATGTTAAATATCAAAACAATGTATGAACTAATAAATACATTGGTGTATTTAAAATTTCTTAGTCTCTAAACCTCTTCTAAAAATCTCATTACTTTGTGCTTAAGGCAGTTAAAATATTTCATTAATAAAAAGGCTGATAATACATCCTTCAGTGTGACATTTGCAGGATACATCCATCAGTTTCTTTGTAATTTGCATTATTTTTTGTAGGCCCTTAATCAGAGTTATGAAACAAAGGTATCAAATACTCTGTGGAAGTATCACAGTCTCTTTCTTGAAAGTATTCTCTGCTTTGTTTCAGTGCTTTATTGGGTAGTGTGTAGAATGAGATTGAGAGAAGTACACTTTCTAGTAACTGTCTTACACAGAACTGGCAGTCTGTCTGTCTTATATACCTGCAATCATAGAAACATAATTTTTTGGGGGAGGGGAAACCTAACTGATCTCATTTTGGACCCTGTGGGAATGCTGTCTTCTGAAGGTGATATTTTAATACCTGTGATAAATTTTGTCAAGAACTGAGAACTTATTTTTATACTCACTTGTAGTCTTTGGCTACAATCAGATCACACCAGCTTTGGAATTTAGCCTTTCTGCTGTCAAAGTCAATGAAGCATTGTTTGTCAGGGGAATGTTTTTCAAAAATATGAATGTGTTCTTTTCTGTTGGTGTAATGTGTGCACATCCCAGAGAAGGTGGGATATTGGCTGTTTTATCAGCTGTATAAATTGATAATTATTTTCTGATTAGGGGCAGTGTATGATGATTTTTGTTTGTCTTGCATGCCAGAAGGATCTCACTCAATCTGTTTTCTGAGTCTTCAGCATCTGTTCAATTTTTTTCAATTTAATTCTTCATCAAGATCTTAAATAGCCATTTATTTAAAGGTTTAGAAATATTTCTCTTCATACATTCCTTTCCCCCATTAAATGTGTCAGTGGAAGCCTGTCCTGATTTTTACTATAAGTGGAGGGAAAAAAATTACAGATCACATGAGGAGAGTATTTCTGCAGCATCATTCCTCTGATTTCAGATGTAGAGGCTGAAGGCAGCTGCAGTCAGCTGACAGTTGGTGGTCATGTTCGGATATACGTGAGGAAGGGGCGTGCTGTTTCAAGTGCATAATGAAGCCGTTGTTTCGTCACCAGGAAGCAGGGATGGATGGTAGCAGCCCAGGGAAATGAGAGACAGTGATGTTGCTGTAGTGCAAGGGAAATCTCATCACACGGAGCCAGAGCTCTCTGCAGGCAGCTGTAGGGATGCACAAGGCAAAATGGCACAAACGTGTTTTGCTTTCTGTAAAGGTACAGGATAAACGTAAGGAGCAGATTAACGCCTGAGATGGACATGCTCACAAGGAGGGTGAAGTTATTTTTTATGCTCTACTGCCCTTTATGTCTGTTGGTACCTTCCAGTGAAATCAGTGTTAGCTGTATTTTTAGCTTGCTGTAGTCAACATCATTATAACAAGATAATTCTGTCTTTACATCTGTAAGCAGTTTTTACTGTGTTTTCCTATTTTCTGCCAGCTGCAGTTTACAAAGGATGTCACAGCACTGGTAAGAAATGTACAGTAGCCATTTCTCTGGTTTTGTAAGGCATGTTTTTCTTAATGATTTGTGAGAAGCAAGAATATGAAACAGCAAGTTTTGATAATGAGCTAGATAGTCAGAGCTGAATTTTCTTCGTAATGCTGATCTCTTGATTTGTGGTTTGTGCCTGTGTTATTTGGTCTGTTTTCTCTCAGTATGCTTTAATATTTTGCACTTCACTAATGCTCGGTGTAACATTGCAGCAATATTGGAAATGCCTCGCCCTCCTCTCTACTTTGCTCTGTGTTAATTTTATGGCTGCACTTGGGCTTTTATAACTGTCTGCTCTTAAGGCAGAGCACATTGATATACTGGAATTGAGCATGTTATGATTTGAACAGGAAATGCTGTGATATGATAGCACTCCTAAGTGTATAAAAGCCCTGAGAAATTATTTTAATCTTCTGTTACATTGGCAGGCTCTGCATTGGTTCTTTATTTCATTATGTTCAAACTGAACAAAGTCATGCTGAAGTTTTTCAATAATAGAATATTGTTTAAGTATGCTGTATGCTTCTCATTGATATATTATTTTGAATGTTCTCTTAATTTCACATTGACAAATGCTGCTTTCAGAAATGCTGCAGAAACGTACTAAGTATAATATAACCATCTTTTTCTTAGGAGTCAGGTTGTTATGCATGAAGATGCAAAGTGCACTAAGGAAATTAGAGATTTCATTTTGGGTTTCAATAGTGCATGGGCAGTGGTGAATATGAATTTTCATACTATTTTACCTCAAAGTAAAAATGCTAAATATCATTAATATTTTTTACAGTAAAATTTATGTACCATGTACTTGCTGTATCCTGTAAAATATAAGATGACTTACAGGGTGTTGGCTCACAACAATATGTTACTGCTTCAATTTATTCATTAGATGTTTAGGAAGAGTAGCTTTTATGTAGAAGACATTATGTATGCATATTTATTTTATTTATATTAAAAATTATTTATTTATATTTTGTGTGTGTATTATTTGTCTGTACTTTTCATATGTACTGCAATAAGTGAACAGAGTTGTTTTATACCCTAAGTGTATAGAGAATTTTCTAGTGCTAGTTGTATTTGTTATGCAGCATTTTAACCTATTGAGCGCTGTGAAATTCCATTTTCCAGCAATGGGAGGCCTAAATGAGAAAAATGTGTGAAGTATCATGTTATAAAGCAGAATTGATGGGGAGGAAAATACTGTGTTGTGTGCTCATGGATTTTGAGAAACCTGACTCAGTGCCCTGCTCGCAGTATTTCCTAGAATTCGTCATTAGTTCAGTTTTTTAATTGTTGAGGAAAGGAATGTATGCCATGATTTTTTTCTTGTTCTGTTTCTGCTCACTAAGGGGCTGGAATGCTGGTTTTATCTTTTGAACTAACATTTTGTCTGAAATTAGAGAGTGTGGATTTTGAACCTGTGCTCACCTCCCTTGAAGCTTGATCATGCAAATACTAAATGGTGAACTTCTCCATCTCCCTCACTACTGAATACTCACTTAATCTTCTCTCCACAGGCGTATTCCCAAGATGCCTACCTGAAAGGCAACGAGGCCTACAGTGGCAATGCCCACAACATACCCGAACCACCACCAATATGTTATCCACGCCTGACATCCGCAGCCTCTGTTAAGGCACAAGCTGGAGACAAGCTCCCTTCTGACTTCTCACTGGGGAAGCAGCAAGTCAGCAGACCAGTCCGGGCATTGACACAGCCAGAGAGGGCCTACAGAATGGAAATACAAGTGCCTCCATCACCAACAGACATTGCAAAATCGAATACAGCCGTGTGTGTTTGCAATGAAACTGTAAGGACTGTTATTGTGCCTTCTGAGAAGGCTGTAGATTTGACGTCTTGCAGAAATAACCATGCTGGTCCATCACACAGGACAGAGGAAGTAAGATATGGCGTAAAAGATCAAACCAGTGTAAAAGCATGGACCACCACATCACCACCATCTTTAGTGTCCACTGCCATTGTACTTCCTCAGACTCCAATAACGAGACCAGTTGATACAACTGTAACAGTAAGTAAAGCTTCAAATTATGTAGTATGTCCAGAAGGCATCCCAAACACTAGGCCTTCTACTCAAGCCACAGACTCGCCCTCGGTTTCTACTAATCACTACAGTTCTCCAACCTCCCACCAGCACATAGACTGGAAGACCTACAAGACTTACAAGGAGTACATTGATAACAGGCGCATGCACATGTATGGCTCCAGGACAATACAGGAAAGGTTGGACAGCTTAAGGGCAGCTTCTCAGAACACAACTGAGTATAATCAGGTGGTGCCAAGTCGCACTGCTTCTCAGGTACGGCGCAGGAGCACCTCGCACGACAGGGTTCCACAGTCTGTCCAGATCCGGCAGAGAAGCGTATCCCAGGAAAGGCTTGAAGAGCCCATGCTGGTGAAAGAATGGCCACGAAGTGCTTCACAAGATACTCTGACTTCACCTTCAGCCAATGCTAGAAATCACAGGGCTCGGTCCTGGGATTATCTCAGCAAACAGGGTGAAGTGCTAGAAAACTTTCATTCTGAGAATATGATTGCAGATGCAAATGGAGATAGGAGAAAGACTTACAAATGGACAGGCTTTACTGAACAAGATGATCGGCGAGGTATTTATGACAGGTCTAGACAACATGCATTTCATATGTCCCTTCGAGGTCAAAATTTTCCTATTGCTCCAAATACTTATATTTCAGACAACAGGAGAGCAGGTAGTAGGGCTTCTCTGCCTGGTTCTCACTTTCAGAAAGTTTCACCAGATCTCAAAATGTTACAGCCTTCTCGTGATTTGCAAACTCCTGGGGGAGTTTCAAAATCTGCAGGTGTTTCACAAGAGAGATTGTGTCTCACACCAGCCAGAAGTTCTAAAAGTAGCTCTCTGAAGAACTCCACTCCCTATGCAGCAAAACCATCGATTCCCCTTAACCAGGGCCTGGATGCTATTGCCAGCAAAGACCAAAGAACAGTAAATCACTTGCATCAAAGCAGTCTGTTAAACCAACAGTCAAGGACCCGAGCTGAAGGTGCCCCAGATCACAAAACAGAAACTGGTAAAACCATCCAGCCCTCCTCTCTGGCTTCAGCTTCTGCCAAACTTGTTCAGCCAACAAGTGAGTGTTTAACTACCTCGGACAACGTAGATGGTTCCATCAGACAAAAGATTCATGGTATTGAAAGGGAAGATGTTCGTGAGTCTGAAAGTCTGCAAATGGATGTTCAGGGAAATGACAAAGACACAGTGGTCATGAGGGACAAATCACCTTCTGGCCACCAAACTCCCCAGCCTTTGAGGCATCAGTCCTACATTCTTGCTGTAAATGACCAAGAGGCAGCCTCAGAGAATACCTGTTGGTTACCTAACGATGCTCGGAGAGAAGTCCACATAAAAAGAATTGAGGAAAGGAAAGCATCGAGTTCCAGCCCACCTGGTGACTCTTTGGCTTCAATTCCATTTATTGGTGAGTTAAATTATTTCAGTGTACATCAAATGCTTTTCCCTCCTTAAGATGATGAAAATTAAGATGCCAGGTAGCTGACTGCTATTCCTGTAAACCCTGAGGTTGAGAGGCATGGGAGATTTTTCTCATCTAAAATAACTTCGGGTTGATAAAAGGAAAAATATTTTTCAATGGAGAAAAATAATATTCTGTTTTGTTTGGGGGTCCTGGAGAATGAATGTAAAAAAGCCCACAGTGATCTAGTATTTTTCTAGAGTTTTCTTTACCCTGTGGGTAAATCTGTGTTACATAACTCCATCTGGTTGTCACTCCACATAATGTTTGTGATGTTACATATATGGACAACTGGCATTTGCAGCACCTTTCAAATACTTGTACTTCTCTAGTAAAAAAACATACTTGAAATCCAGTACAGAGAGAATATGGATGCAAATCCATGTAAGAGTGATTTCTGGGGAACAAAGATGTTTTTCAGCTGAATAGGTATGGTGAAAGCCTTCTGAGACAGATGGGGAATAGATGAAAGCTGTTTCAGGTGAAGGGATAGCAATAAAAAGAGGTGGATTTGCAAGTAAAGATGCTAATGTGGATATGAATGAAAGGGTTTGTGGAAGCAGAATCTGAGAAGGCAAAATGATTTTCCTGTGTGCTGTGACACAAACAGGGTTGGAATTATAGGGAGTTGCTGGGAAGGGCAGTGAAGAAGAAAAGAATCCAAGGATTGGATATAGTAGAAAAAAAAAATTATATTGGATGTTGGATATGTGATGATGAATTAGTGTCTTCTGCTGAAGAGAGAGTTACAGTGGCACAGCATTTCTGTTCTATCCAAGAAGTCAATGCCTCTGTTGTCTTTGTCCTGCTGTTGTTGTTGGGTTGGATTTTCTTTTGTTGTGGCTGATTTAATCCTTTGTAGTCTGGATGTCTGTACATCATTTTCCACAGGAGTTGATTTATACCTGACTCTCTGTGCTCGTGAATGTAGTGTAGGAAGTATTTAGAAAGTACTGAATACAGAATTTTGATTCTCAGTCTCAGCAGTGTGAAAAACAACTCTTTTTAATGATACTTTTTTTTTTAACACATGGTGTTAATGGAATTACAGATACAGTGTCTTAGCATAATTGTCTTCTGTTGGGGATCTGAAGCACTGATTTTTTTCCCCCTAGCGTTATGTATAGTATCTGCTACTAGTTGAAAGTGAGTAACCAAAAAACAGTGAAGAAGCTTTGTGTTCATCAGAAAATGGATATCATACAAAAGATACAATAATTCTGTTCTTTTGACAAGATACTGGTAAGACATTAAAAAGTACTTTCTTAGCAAGCAGGTACTGCTTTTGTTGGGTTTTTGATTTTGAATGGGAGTTGTATAGATCTTTTTCATTCTTGTTACTACTGGATGCATCAGTGTAATTTTAGATTCTTCTTCAGACCCAGCCAATCTTTAAGGATTAGCAAAGTTTGTGAGGCATGTAACTGATCTTTGTGCAGGATTTTTCAATACTCTGCCTAAAATCAGTGTTGGGCTCCTGACAAACATTCCGTGTTTGCTGGAAGCATTTTAATCCCATACAGATGAAATGTCATGTTAAACTCAGATCAAGATTGGTAACATCAAACCCAACCTTTTTGTTCACCATCTCCTTTCTTGGTTTTGTCAAAGATTCTCCATGAACTTTTATTTATGTGACTTGTTTCCATATTTTGGAGAAATGTGTTGAAAGTTCAAGGAAGCCTTAAACATGTCAGTTGAACTGTATTTGGTAGCAGCTGAGCAGTTCAGAAGGAACAAAATTGTAACTCTCCATTGCAGCCTCTTGGCATAAAACCCCATGGGATAGAATTCTTATAAGCCTCTTGGAATGAAACCTCCCAAATGTTCCAGAAATACTGAAACCTGATGCTTCTGGAGCTTGGGCACTATCTGAGTCAGCATGGTCCTTGTGGCTGTCTTCCTAGCAAGAAATTCCTGTGCCAGTACGGGGGCTGTGGAAAGTTTCTCCCCAACTCCAGCACCTTGACGAGGAAATAATGGATAAGAAATAATGAATATTTCCTTGAGGAGGAAATAATGAATATTCTCTGTGACTAGAAAGAGCATGAGATGTTATGGAAGTGGACCACTTCTTATGTTAGCGTTTTATATGCATTATTCTAACTTTGCTTGTTTTGCTATCATTATGCCTAATTACAACTTCACTTGTTAAAAGCTGTGCTTAATCAGGCAGATAAAGCCCTAGATCTGCTTTGAAATTCAGTTAAAGGATTTTTAACTCTTCAGATGGAAAATCACTGGGAGTTTTGGTTTAGGGTTTTCTTTTGGGTTTTGAGTTCTTTTTTCCTTCTCCGATTATTGAGAAGGATCTTAATTTGAATAAAGACATACCTTGGAGTATGGCAAATGGCTTTATTTCCCTTATGCTTATATCCATGAAGTAGGGTGTTTGGCATTCTTAGGTTTTGTTGGGTAGAACTAATTTAATACACTTACTGAAGTTACTTGTACAGTAGATACTTGGAGTAGTGTAGAAATGTAAATGTGGGGGAGGGTAACAAATATCTTCCAAGGTCACATATTGCTACCTGTCAAAATATGCGTGGTATTTAAAATATTTGTGGTGTGTCTATTTTTATCACCACTTTCTGCTTATTAAAAGTAGTAGATATGGCCAGGACTGTATTTTGGTAGAAATTCAGCCAGGAGCAATTTGCTTTGGTAGCAGTGTTTTGTGACTGGCCCACTTCTGAGAACAGCACAACATCAGGGTGATTTTAGCTCTGCATAAGTAGTTCAGTGCCCTGCACCACAAACAGAAATCCAAGCCGAGTTTCTGTTGAGCTTCCTTACAACAGATTCTTGCAGGGATCATGGTGGGTTACTGAATAACTGCCTTTTGACACTAATATTTTCACAAAGGTAGTTCAGAAGCAGGGAGATTTAAATTTTAACCTCTCATTTAAATAGAAATGAGAGATCTGTTCAGACCAAACCTAGTAGGTAGCTGTAATATCTTGTAGTGGAGAAACCAATTTGTTTGAAAATATTAGATAAAATATTGTGTATTCAAACTCTTCAGGTAAGCACCTGTTCTTGGGGGGTGATGAAGCTGCCAGCTTTACAGATAAACATACAGTGGTATTGCACACTTTACTACTTTCCATGTGCTGCTAAATGCAGGATATTGTGGTTCTCAGAAAGCTGCTCTTTCTATTTCAGGTCCAGAGAAAAGCTATGTTCTTAAAATGCTCTCTATTGTTTCAAACTAAACAAATTAGTCTTGTGGCACTCTACTGTTTTTACCCAGAAAAGGTCTCACCTGTTCCCTAGACTAATAAAAAATACCATTTTCTCTATCAGTGACTATATTAGCAATCATGGTGTTTAATGTGCATTTTTCGGACTTGCAATTTTTGCATGATTTCTGTGCTAGAGGACAGCAAATGATAATTTTCTGGCCTACTGAGTAATTTTTGGATGAGTTAATCTTCACTGGAATGGAAAGTAGAATGCTGCTAAACATCCTGATAGACGTGGATGACAAGTGGTGTCTCTTAGGGGCCCTTTCTGGGACCAGGGTTATTAAATATCTTCATTGGTGACACAGAGAGTGCTGTTGAGTGCACCATGGCAGATTTGTGGGTGATACCAAGCTTGAGACGTGCTCTTGCCACACCTGAAGGATGGGATGTCGTCCAGAGGGACCTGGACAGCTCGAGAAGTAGGCTCATGGCAATCTGATGTGGTTTAACAAGACCAATGCAAGGTGCCCTGAGTCAGCACAGGCTGGGGAATGGACAGTGAGAGCAGCCCTGCCCAGGGGGGCTTGGGGGTGCTGGTGGGTGAGAGGCTGGACATGACCCAGCCATGGGCCCTCCCAGCCCAGAGAGCCAAACCTGCACTGGGCTGCCTCAAAAGCAGCCTGGGCAGCTGCTAAAGGGAGAGGATTCAGCTCTCTGCTCTGCTGGTAAAGGGAGGGGATTCAGCCCTCTGCTCTGCTTTGGTGAGACCCCAACTGCTGCATCCAGCTCTGGGGTCCCCAGCAGGGAAGGTGTGGACCTGCTGGAGCAAGTCCAGAGGAGGGCCAAGTTTATTAGATGAAGCACCTTTCCTATGAGGAAAGGCTGAGAGAATTGGGATTGTTCAGCCAGGAGAAGAGAAGGCTTTGGGGTGCTGTAATTGTGGCCTTCCTCCTGAAGGGAGCCTGCAAGAAAGATGAAGAGAAACGTTTTGCAAGAATGTGTAGTGAAAGGACAAAGGGCAATGGATTATTTAAATTGATAAAATATTAGGAGGAAGCTCTTTACTGTGGGGGTGGTGAAACACTGAAACAGGTTGCCCAGAGAAGCTGTGGATGCCCTGTTCCTGGAAGTACATAAGATCTGGTTGGGTGGGTCCCTGAGCAGCCTGGTCTAGTGGAAGGTGTCCTGCCCACAGCAGGGGGCTTAGGTCCCTTCCAACCCAAACCATTGATGAGTTTTGTAACTGTTGAGAAAATGTTGATTCAGAATATAGTTATTTTAATACATTTCATAGACATAAATGTCTAGTATGCATGTCTGAGATATGCAGCAAGGTTGAAAATATTTTTTGCTTCTTACAATACTTAGTGTAGGGTAGAAAGAAATAAAAAAGAGATTAATCCAACCCCCATATTGAGTTGAATGAACTACTCACAGGAGAGAAATGGGGGCACTGCTTCAATGCTTAACCTGATTGCAGCATGTGCAGCTGTCAGGCCAGCTAGCTTTGGCCATTACTACTGGGTGGATGTTCTTTCCAGCTTTGCAGAGGCCTGTCACATGAAAATTAGTTTTAAACAGATATGTTTAAAAACCTTAGCCTAAATGTCATCTTGAAGTTCAAAATTATTTTAAAATAAAATCAAATTCATAGCCATCCTATTATAGAGTTTTTCCTTATACAGTAGCATTACATAAGTACAAAGATTCTTCCTTAAAGGTGTGATCCCATTTTGAAAATATGTAGCACATGCTTAC